AATTAGAAGTTTTCAATGTTGAAGGATTTGCTACAGCAAACATTAATACTAACATTAATGTTGATACTAATAATAATAATACAACTATTAGTGTTAATACTAATGATGATCATAGTAATGACAACGATGGTAATGACAATAACAACAATGATAATAACGATAATGATGATGATAATAATAATAATGTTAGTAGAGGCGATGATAATGCTGAAAAGGAATTATCACAAAAACAAAAACAACAAGAACAACCAAATTTACATGAAATTGATTTATTCTTCTCGTCAACACCTTCATCACCATTATCTTCAAAATTACAGGAACCATTGAAACCTATGATTCTAAACAATTCTACAACAAAATCTTTGTCAATCAAAATTTAAAATTTATATTTTCATAAATGTTAACGCTACATTATTGTATTTTATAGTTATTTTCATAATGTATTGATATTATAGTTATTCTTATAATTATTGAAAAAAATTTTTGGTTATATGTTGGTAGAATTTAAAAAATAATTTTATTAATATTTTAGTAGAATTAAAAAATAATCTTTGATATATATATTATTATTATTGTTAAAATAGGATCATGTGATTTGGAAAAAAGCATTCAATTAACAAGTTTACAAATGAGGAAGCAAAGTGAGCCATCAAGATTTTCATTTACGCTTCCCATAATTTCTTTTATCCTTTTGCTTTATAGTTTCTTGATATTACACAACATCACCTTCTTGTTTAAAATACCTCCAAGCAATATTCCTTTTTTTACTTCCTCTTCACAAATCATTTATTTTTCATGATTAACAGTATTTAAATCATTCAAAAACGATGGTGCTTTTAGGCTTAGAGCAGGACTAATACACAAATATAACAATCATGATTGTCTTAATATATTAATTTCTGATTGCATAATCTTTTGATAGGTAAAAATGAAAAACAATTTTATTTATTTATTACGTTGATAATTAATTGAAAACAAATTTTCTAATGATTTTTTTTTTACATACTTTTTTTACAGGTATTTTTTTATTACATCTATTCTTTTAAGCCATTTTGGTTCAAGAGATTTATTTAACCTTTTGTACTCATCAATAACATGTCTATGTAATCAAAATCAAAAGATAATATATCCAGAGAATCCCCCACAAAGGTGCCCTACTCATCGCCACATATATCTATCATGTGGTGAACATATTTTCATCAATGGATACAGTTGAGTGTGGTAGTGTAAGGCCTTGTGTCTTGTGAACAGTGAGTGCAAATGCATTCTGAATTGGGAATTGCCTCCTGGATGCTGGTATTCCATTGATAGTGAAGTATGTGATTTCTCTTTGAACATTTATCTTTACAATATTGTTAGCTGTGGGTAAAGTAACCTCAACATTATCATCATCAATTACCTTGGTGATTACTCCTATTGTCCCATTACATACTCCATGTTCAAACAATTTATTGTTTAGGAACATTATGCGAGCACCTCCAACAAACATCATAAAAGAATCCTTTTGTATATCCTGGATCATGATGTCTTTGTTGGAATTAAAGGCCCTGAATGTAAAGTCCAAAAAATCATCATTGTCAAGTCTTGAAGTTGCCATACCATTCAAAACATTAGATACACTCGCAGACTTTACAAATGCGATTGTAGATAAGATGGAAGGCATAATTATTTATGAGTTTTATTTTTTATTTTTTTTAAATATGATTTAAATTATTTCGTGAGTATCAAATATTTTCTTTGCATCTAGTAGTTCATTTGCTTAACCTTTTTATACAACCTTTCTTCACTAACCAAATCGTAAAAATCAGTAATTCAATGAATGGCAGCACAAGAAACATATGTTAATGTAGACATGACAATAAATGCATCCACATGTGAAAAAAAAAAAGAAAGACAAAAGGTGTAAAAATAAACACATAGTTGCATAAGTACATGTTCTTAACAATTTCGAACACGTTGATTGACAGCAACAACAATCAATGATGGGCGAAGGAACACATGTTAACATTGCAGCATGGATAACATGACAATAAACATATCCACACAGCATAAAAAAAAGAAAGATGTATGGCGTAAAAATAAACACGTAGTTGCATATGTACATGTTCTTAACAAATTAGAACACATTGAATGTTTACCAATGATTTCATAACAAACACGTTGATTGATCAGATAATGGTTCACAGCCATGATCTCATGCACCTGAATCAAGAATCAATGGATAAGTGTAGATCTCAAATTGAGGTGCATTTGTTGGTTGGAACTTAAAATTGTTGAACTTTTCATTAAAAACCAATGCAAAAACATGTTTTCTTGCCATAAAAAAAAATGCTCAGAAGGTCCAAAATCATGTTTTATTGTCAATTTTCACAACAATTAGTTTAAAAGTTAGTTGTTAAGTAATTTCCGGCCAATTAAAAAAATTGTAATTTTGGTTTTTCTTATCCGATGATTCTTGATGTTTTTGATGAGTACACAAAGAAATAGATAATAATAATAATTAGATACATGTGAAATTCTTGACATTCTAATACGTGTTAATTATTTATTCAAATTTTAAAATTAATTTGTGGCTATGGAAAAAAGTAAACAGGTTTTCACAGACCACAAACTTATAAAAAATCACCTATATAAATGAACTATGCTCTCTGTTCTCTCTTCTCTCTCCTTTCTTCTCTTCTCTGCAAGTTTATAAGAAATTAAATCTTTGCCGTATATACTACTCTAATATGCCAGAATAAGAAAAAACTGAAGATCTGATTGAAATATGGAAACGATTTCAAAAATCTGCGAAAAAAATTACGAGTTTTGGCAAGCAATAGTGACACGACGAGCATTCAATCTTTTATTTGTGTTAATAATTAAATAATTAAGAAAATTTTTATCATTGTAATTCTCTATTATTATAAATATGAGAGAAATTTGTAAAACGTATAAATAATATTTAATTTATTGATTTTACATGATGACGACGATAAAGGATGTAGGTGGAGGAGGGGAACAGCAAATCCAATTTTGGAAGGTATAAATGATGGTTTTGATCCAACCCAAACTTCAGCTCCAACCATAGAATAACTAGATCCAGAAGATGACAAATTTGTTGTTTTTGTTGATTCACTACAAATTGTTGAAGTTTCATACTTTGTATTGATAATTTTAGCCATAATTCTTTTTAGTAATTGTTCTTCTATTGTTAATATTTTTTGACCTTTTACAACATCTTCATCAGGATTCAGGTAAATAAAATTATAATATATATTTTATTCTATTATAGTTATTTGGGAGTGAAGAATTAGATCTAATGACAAGGTCTAGAAAATACCAATATAAACCTGTAATAAATCAGTATAGCAGTTTGTCACTTTTTGGTAGTTGATCAACTAAAAATCGGGAAACACAATCAATATCATGTGTTAATTTTTAGCTGACTGGCGCTAATTGTCCTTTTTCGACCAGTAAAATAAGAGTATATGATGATGTAAAAAAATAAAATTGGGGGAAATTTTAATTCATAATTTTAAAAATGACGCAATATTGGGGAAAAATTTTTTTGACCACATATCAGTATATTATATATAGATATATTAATATATTTTATTAAAAGCTTATCGTCCAATAAAACTAATTCCTCGACAGAATCACATGATTTACATATCTTCACTTTTTATGGTTGGGTTTTCCAACAAACTATATATCAAAATAAGATAGAGAGAACATTTTTGAAGAAATCTAATCATCATTTTGTTTACCTTAAGTTATCTACAGACGATTAGATTTTAGCTGCACAGAACTTTGAGATATATCAATTTAAAGTTCAATATGTTTACTATGTTTGAAAACATGGATTAACTTGGAAATCCTTTACTTGATTTGGAAAGATAATCAGATTTTTTTGAAATAATTGGATGTAATGCGAGATCCTGTTTAAACTGCGGTTTGATATTTTTTTTAACAAGACATTAGTATATTAGAAGTGATAACGTGCATGCATAATAATATTATTATTAATGCATATTTTTTAATGTTAAAATTTAATGTTAAATTTAAATGTTAAAGTTTAAATGCTAAAGTTTTTCAATATATTGGTTTTCTAAATAGAAATTTGATATTAATTATCATAATCGAATCCAAATAACGTTTTTTGTCCCTCCTTCCATTAATTCTGTAATTCATGAATTATCCTGTTTTTTAGTGGCAGTTCTTTATATAGGAATATATAATGATATATAATCGAACCAGTAGTTTTATGAACCGATACGAACCGATTCAATCCCTAATTAATATTAATTAATACCCAGATTGGATCTTTGTGGCACTATGCTCACTTTTTTCCTTATATCAAGTATTTTGCATAAAGAAGTTTTATTGACATTATTGAGAAACCAAGAGCCAACTACACAGTTTTCATGTTCTCGGCAAGTATAAAATAAGTATTAAAATAAAAAATGGTCTAATATGTTGGGATCATGAAAGAATACGGGGAATATTTACTGTGTTGACGTTCGATGCCATTATATTTACATGATAACATTAGTTTGGATCATATACTCATGATTGGGTTAGTTTCTCTTCTTGCGTTTCTTTTATTATTAAGCCGTTCGATTACCATGGTCTAATCATTATTATCAACTCAGGGTTACATTTTTTAAAATTGTTTTATTTTTATTCTTGGTTTTAGAATGAAAAAGATAGTAGCAGGGTACTTTCCTTTCGAACAGAAATATCATGGATTCAAGGAGGATTATTAACACTAGTTAACAGAGGTAAGTGAATACAAAAAATATATATTTATAATAAATCTTTGTTTCAATGAAAATTTTAAATATCTTTTCACGTGATATAATCAAGAGTATTATTAACTTGATGCAAAAAATTATCAATCCAACGAAAATCGTAAAAGAGTTACATAGTTTCAAGAAATTAATAACTAAAGCCGCATGTAATTTAATACAAATTGTTTTAGATCAGCTAATTAAATATTTGGTAATGTATTTTGTTTTCTAATTCCATACTGATTTCAATGCTATCAACTAATAATAATATTAAATATTCTTTTGACATGATAAGATTCTAAGTTACTAAAATTAAATAAAAACGGAAAGAATTGATGGGAACTTGCTGCGGAAACAATATTCTCTGTATTTTTCAAATGCAAGCAAAAAAAAAAATAATACATATCAATAATCTTTAGAGTTTCTTTCTTATCTGCACAAAAAAAATTTGTGGTAGGACAAAAATACAACTTTTCGTGCAAAGTTGTATGATTGGCCATTCTCCCCACTGATTACTATGTCAATCATTCACTAATTATAGGCGAATCATCTCTTTGCATCTTCTATTTTACCACAGATCTTTCAAATTTCCAGAGTGGAAGATCTAGAAATCCTCTTAATCCAAATGATTTTCTAGACGACATGAATAATTTAATATTAAAAATCATGAGATAATTTTAAATCATTTCTGACGCAGTAATTTTTCAAGGAGATGATGACAATTTTAAATGCAAAGAATTTAACTTGGAAGACGATGATTTTCAGTTTTTGGAAAGCTTTAACAAATAATTCCTCTTGGATTACTATTGGACTCTTTTTGACGACCAACGTTGATTTTAAATACGTATGTATGTTTCTTTCAGCTCGCTTGTATATTTTTGGATTATTCTTGAGTCTTCTGATAATGACGATGATGATATTTTGTTATTAAATATGACCGTGACGTATCCTCATGATAATGTTGGCAAAGAATTCAAATCATACATGTTGATTTGTGAGGCAAAGAAGCCAAATACTGGTCAAGGATAGAAAGAATACGAAGGAGTTAAAAAACGATTGTTATAATAACATAGTAATCTATTATTTAAAAAGAGCAAATTTTTAAAGAATTAAAGTGTATGAGCTACAGTTATAAGGTAACATTATTATTATTAATATCAACGTTAATTATATATATTGTCAATAATATTTATCTTTTCTCGAAAAAATATCCGGAAGGGTAATCTTATTGAAGCATGATCATCTGTACGAAAAGATTTGTAAGGTTCGAAGTAATTATTCAACTAAAGATAAGCGCTTTTTTTTTGGTTCTTATCTTGCGGATAAAAAGTAAATACTTTTAATAATGATATGTTGTATTTATGTTTTAATTGAAATTACGGAGATTGGAAAAGAGATTGGGAATCTAGAAAGAACATTGATGTGAAAAGTTTTTTAAAAAATTAATTGCAGAAACTTCTCCCATTCTGCAATAAAGTCGATAAAGAAAAATTTAAATATTAAATGATGATGATAAAAAAATAGTTAAATTTTTGATTTTGGATATTATAATATACATAATATGCGTGATATAATAACCAATTCATACTTTACTGCCAAGAATAAAATGAACAAGGAACAGAGCTAAATTGGAAAATTTTTTGAAAATTTTGTTTCTTCAATTTTCCCTTTCCTTATTTTCCTTCATACCTTAAGATCTCTCTTTCCCGACCACATCCTTTGTTGCAGTATACCCAAATTAGAACTTGAATTTTTTAACGTTGAAGGATTTGTTACAACCAACATTAATACTAACATCAATATTGATACCAATAATAAAGATGATGATGTTAGGAGAAATGATGATAACGTCACATTTATTGTATTTTATTATTATATTGCATTAATAATATTGTAGTTAATATTACATGACAATTTGAAAAATTTTTTTGCGATATGTAGTTTAAAAAAAAAATAGTTGGCTATCTCGAAAAATATTTTATGTGTGTGTATGTGTGCGCGCGCATATAAATGTGAGAAATATATTATTTGCGTGTTGACGATGAAATTCACTCATCGATTTTCTAATAAAAAGGATGTGGTGTGAATCATTATTATCATTGGAATTAGATGTTTGTCGAGATTGCCGGCGCATCAGGTGCTATTGACGATAAAGAATTTGGTGGTTTAGAAGATGAGCTAGAAGAATGAATTTCATGGTTAGTATCAGATGTAGATGTGGAAGAATATGAGCTAGAACTAGAAGAAGGAGGAGTGGTTTCGGTTGGGGAAGATACAGATGATGATGGTGATGATGATACATTTTGTTGTTGATTTAGTTGCATATTTTGTATTGATAATCTTAAACGTTCAGAATGCATTTGTCGTTGTTGATGTAAACGACCCATTTGTTCATCAATATATTTTTGCCACGATTCTTTAAGTAGTCGCTCTTCTATTTGTAATATTTCTTTAATTCTTTTTACATCTTCTTCATCGTTTTCGTTATTGATAATATAATTGATGTTATCAATATTTATAGATCTTCCTTTCATTTCCGTTTCCTCCTTAATTTGCTTTATTCGTTTGTCCATCGAATCAAGAATAGACTTTGTGGCCAATTGCTCTAAATGAATTTTGGTTTTGTCTTCAATCAATTCCTTCATATTTAAAATTAATTGGTCCATCGTAGACGCATAGTTTTCCTGTGGATAAAATGCGAAAAGGTGTGTGGTGAAAGGAGGACATTAATTAACGTGTAAAATTATACAACAGAAAAAAAAAACACCAGGTCTCTTGCCGTACCCTGCAAAACAATAATCAATATTCGTTTACCTTTGAATTAGAAGCTTCGAAAATATTTGACTCAATCTTCTTTGCTTGTCTAACAACCTCATAGAGTGGTTGAACCGAATAAGCTAATTCTGCTATCCCAATAATTTTATCAATTCTCTCTTCTCCTGTTACCAAAAGCCTCCATCTCTCTGATAATGACATAATTCTTTATTTTATTTTATAATTGAAATTGATAATAAAAAAAAGTTTCTATTTTTTTGTAAAGAGAAAAAAAAAAATATTTATCGTAGTTTTTTTTTAAAAAAATATTATTTATTTTGTTATTTATAAAAAAAAATATAATTTTCAATTGTTTCTTTTTTTATTTTAACGGAAAAAAAATTTTTTTTAAAGTATATTGATCATACATATTTATATCTTTAAGGTGCGTGGGTAGATAATTATCTTTTGTATGGGTAACTAACTAGGCATGTAGGTGGGTAGGTACTTCGATTGATTGATATTATTTGTTGGTTAGTTAGTTAGGATGTTTGTTAATTGGTCGGTCAACTAGTAAAAAAACAATATTTGAAATTTTTCTTGAATTAATTAATTCTAAATTTATACAAGAATGGAAAATATAACATACATACATACATACATACATATATATATATATATATAATAATAATAATAATAAATAAACAATAATAATTCATCCATTCATTCTCAATAGTATATTGTTAAAAATATTTTTTTACTACATAAATAAAAAAAGTTGTTGTAGTTGTTTGATAGTTGATAATAACATACCAACGGAAAAAAATTAAAACTAACAAAAAACAAAAGGAGGATGGGGGAAATTTTTGAATATGGAAAACGTAATGTAAGATGATGTAATATAACATTATTTTAATCGATGAGGATAATGAAATTATAAATTTGAACGTTGAAAAAATTAAATGTTTTATTTTTTTATGGTAATAGAAAAATGATGATGGTAACTGATCTGGTCAGTCATTTTTTTATATGATGATTATTATATAATTATTAATTATTATGATAACGGGAATTGCTTTTGTCGTTTATAATTAATTAATTACCTTGAAAAAATTTGAGTTGAAATGTGAATCCTTATCAAAATACTAATATTGTATATCGCGCGTATGTATATTTTATTTGCACATGAATTATCATCGCAGAATCCAATGTAAAATACAAACTAAGCAGCAACTAAAATATTTAAGTTTTAAGTTTTATTTATTTATTTTTATTGTAAAATAAAAAATCTTGGTTCCCATGAATTCGCCCAGTCCAATTTTTGTCTATTTACGGTTAATTGATAATTGATTCAATGTGATTTATGATGTTTATTAATTATGACGAGTAGCAATGCGTGTATTGTTTTTTTGTTGTCATTATTCAATCTGGTTATTTAGACGGGTTCTCGAACTGATCAGCATCAATTGCAATTACCGATATGTAATAGTTTTACTACTAGTAATAGTTATGCGTTATGAGCTATTATGTGCGTGTGTGCGTGTGTGCGTGATTCGTGATTCGTGTGTGTGCGTATGTGCGTGTGATTGTATAATATACATATAAATAATAATTATATATTTATAAAATGGGTTACCCCGAAAAATCAGTAAATAATGATCTATTTTAAATAAAATAGAGGAATGTTATTTATTTTTCATTTTGATAATGATTTTTAATTTTTAGATTAAAAAAATTCCAAATATTTTTTTATTTACAATTTTTTTCAATTCATTCTAGTATATATATAAATACACATAAATATTAATAACGAATAACCAAATAAATAAACCTTCTATCCTTATTTAGTTATACAATGGGTACATTTTATAAGAACTTTTTCTTGAAAAAGAAATTATTCCCAAAAAATATAAAAAGGGACCATTTCGGTATGACTTTTTCCGACTTACTTCAACCGGGACCAACAATAGAACCGAACTCGAATAAAAACACCCTATTATCATATTATTCAAATTTTTCCACAAATTATAAATAACCTGTTTTTAAGATCAAATGATCAAACCAACTAAACCAACTTGATTAAACTAAACCTAATTTCTTAATGATGTCATTAAAAAAACCCAGTTCCCTGGAAATTGACAGTATCAATATGTCCATGTGCCTTACGCGCCATTATTGCAATTTGGGGCATGCATGCTATAACCAAACCAGTATAACGCCACAAAATAACTGGTGGTGCAAAATGAAATGAAAGGAATAGATAGGTGTAATGAGGTTTTGATATCTTTTATGACATGAAAATTTCGATTTCTTTTCCCATCAGCCTTCTTTAATAGTATAAATTCATGAAAATGACAATTAGAAATCTTTGAACTTTTACCAAGGTTCAAAAAGAAAATGTTGGGATTTCATAATACGTATATAAGCTAGAAAGCCTTTTTTACACCATCATTAAAAATTTGGGTGTTACTCGATCCTGCAGTACTATTACACAGTCTACTACACTTGTTTTTCTATAGTTAAAAACTTTAAAAAATCACAATATATATTAGTTTATATATAGCATTTACAAATATGTTATAAACTAGTACAATTTTAGAACTATATGTAGAGTCGTATCAAAGTGTAACGTAACACCGGTCGATTCCGTCAACTGGATTTCAACACTGACTTTATTTTCCCCTTTAATTATAACAAGTTAAAAATAACATTGTCCATTAGAAGAACTTCTTTTTTTGCTTGTACTCTTTTTTACGTGCATTATATCTTATGTCATTGTGACTATTTTAGTAAATCGATGTTTTATAGCTACAATGATGTATAACGCGCAATGTTTTTTTTTTTATAGAAATTTTTTACACTTTGTATAATTTACTCTGACATCAATAATTGGAAAAAATTTATTTTTGAAAAATTGATTGACTCGGTAACTCATTATAGCATGATTTTATTTTAATGCTTGGGATTATTTTCTTTAAAACTATCAATTATTTAATGTTTGATATTCGACTTGCAGGATTTTTAATTTTCCAAAAAAAAAGACTTGATTTCCGAAGGATATGATGTAACGGAAAATTCATGGTGGCTGTGGACTTATTGAAATTGCATTTCCTTTCAAAGAACCTGTGAAGCCTCTCTCTTATTGGTCAGGATTTTTTTATCACAAACAAGGTCACGAATATAGAATCTAACGTGGGAGTCGGAAAATACTTTGTTAAATCTAGCTCAATACGTTAGATTTAATCAATGGGCTAATTATTGTATTCATTTTTGCAACTTATTATTTATTAATGTTAATTTAAACAATGCAGCAAACAAAAAGGCGCAAATTAAAAATTGAGCGTATTAAATTTGTTAGGTCAACTTCAGTTTATATTGAATGCTCGGGTGCCGAAGATAATAAGCTGCTGTATTTAATAGACAAGGACAAGAGGTAGTTGAAAAGTTTAGGAAATAAGCAAACAATATATAACATCCAACTACCATAAGAATTTGTAATAAAAACAAAAGTTGAAATTTTTACAAATCCTCCAATGCAAAAGTCTTTATTGTCCATAAAAAGAGACCTCATCGATGAGTATTTCTTGGAAATACTTACCCTAATTTGATATATTTATTGATGCCAGATTATAAATATACATATTCAAGCTGATAATATTTACTTCTGCAGCTAGTGATATATATATATATATACAAAGAGAGAAGAAAAAATTGATGTTAGGTTTATTTGATTATGATTAGCAGTTGTCAATATTTAATGTTGTGACAATTATTTAAATCGTCAAGATAGGCTATTTACCTATTTACCTTGAATAAAGTTTCACAATTTAATCATCTCATGTTGTTTTTCTTTTCTGCATTTTATTAGGTAATTGCATTTCTGTTATATAGTTTTCTTTTGCTGATTGTTTCTTTTCTTGTCGGTAAACTTTACAGGTAATCTTCTCCTTCCTTAGGTTATAATATCAAAGTGCCAGAGTATCAGTTAATTTAAACATAAAGTAGCAATTTTCTCATCTTGTTCTTTTCAAATACTTCTCCTTGGGTTCCATTGTAGATTATATATATTTATACTTTATGTAGGGGTAATTCCATATCAATTAAATCATACTTGATTTTTTAATGCACTCCTTGTTTTATTAATAGCAAAGCTAATTTGGATTGATTGAGTTATCTTATAAAGACAACCTTGAAATTTTATGTTATATTAGTGGTACAATTGTAGCATTAACATTCCCTATATGATAAAAAAACCAAATGTATTTTATTACTTTTTATTTTACTTTGCGATTGAGAAATCGTGTAATTTCCCAAGTTCACGAATGAAATAAAGTTTGTGTTTCTAAACAAACTTTAGCCCCTGTAAATTCCCTTCTGGGGTATTCCCATATCAAATATATATGCATATCAGGGCTGGCAGGGTTAAAAATCTAATTTAGTAATAATTGTCTTGACTAAACTTGACTTAACATAAATAGTTTAGTCACATTCGGGTTACACAGCCAGCCCTGATATATTAATATATATGTCCAAGTACGATCTATGTTCCCAAATCGGGTATATACCTTATTAAGTTGGAAAACACTGAAAGCCCTGACCATTTGTGTTACTGAATCACAAATTTTTTTTGATTATCACAAAAAAAAAAAACAAAAGAAGTTTCTTTCATCAAATATAAATAATATGCCAGAATTCGTGACACCGGGTCAAAGATTAGGATTTACACAAAATTTTAAAGCAGGTCCTGGTACTTATATTCGAGGTAGTCATATCTATGCTAGCGTTGTTGGTGTAAGAAAAGATTTTGTCAAGAAAGACGAAGAAAAGGTACTTATCATCTTCATCCTTATTATAATATAATATTAATATTAATATAGTTAATATGTAGTTAAAGAAGTATTATTAATAATAATTAAATCGCTTGATGGCGAGTATGGAAGTAACTACAATTAAAAAAATACTAACTTTTTTTATTTTAATTGTAATTATTTAGATACCAATAATAACAGTTTCGAGGGAAAAAAAACAATCGGCAGTACCAGATGTTAATAGTATTGTTAGTAGTATTAATGACATTTCTACAGCTACATTCATTCATTAACAGTATATTTAACATATGTTCACATAAAGATAACAGGTAAGGTTATACGTATAAATCCAAAAGAAGCTTTTGTGTCTATAATGGTTGTTGGTAGTTCACCATGC